GAGTCTGCGCTCAATAACGACGTTCAATAACGACGCTGACGTTTGATTTATCCTCCAGAGGGGAGGGGCTTCACCACGTAACTGAAATGAGGTGAAGCGACTGTCACCTCCGTGTCCTCGGTTACTGGCGTTCAGTGTGACAAACCCCGCCCGTCTGGCACTGGAGGAGCTTAAAACAAACACAACTTGAGTGTCTGGGCCAGCAGAGATGAGTGCCAGGCAGACTGAAGGCATCAGAAAAAACAAAAAAGAGACATAAAAGAAAAACAGTAAAATATAAAAAAAATTATTTTAATTAAGAACTACATTTTAAAAACTTTGGGGATTTTAAAACTTTTGTGTCTTCTTGTGTTGCCTCTGTGCACTTTTGTGTTGGAAGACACCAATAAATATATAAATATGTATACATATATATCCTCTTCTTGTTACTATTAAAGAGTACAAACACCATTAGATATATTTAATATGATAAATACTGTGTAACAACTTCTAAACAGCAGCCACAGAGTTAATTACAGGATTCTTTTGAGTCAGTTTAACATCCTGATGAATGTAAGAGGCCCGGATTAGAGAGCGAGAGGCATGAAGACTCTCCTGGTGAAGTATGGTGCGTTTACTTCCTGTTTTCTTTGCTAATAAAACGATTGCGATGTTTGTCTGACACACTAAACCTGTAGCACAAGTAGAGGAGCCACCATGAGCTACAGGTCACATGAGACTGTAGCAGCAGAAGTTTGTTACACTGAGTAAAGCTGTGTTTTATTACCAACTTATCTTTTGTAAAAGGAAGATTGGGTTGTTGTGACATAATCGCACTTAAAAATAAATTTGTGATCATTGTGTTGAAAACATTGAAGGTAATATTACAATAAAACAAATTCTATTTAGTGGTTTTTATTTGTTTGCGGATTTACTTTGATGTGTTGACTGAGGAAAGCAACATGTGATACATGTAGATGTCCTTGTGCAAGATTATAAATCATCCATTTTTCTCTCAACTGTCTCTTTTGTCCAATAAAAGCAAAAACAAGCCTGAAATAAAATCCTCCGTTTGTGCCATTGGAAAAATGGCCGATGTTTAGTGACAAGTGCAGATTGTTGTAAATCGATAACAACTCAAAAACGAATCTAATTAACATATTTCTTTTGTTAACTGCTCCTTACAACCACTACCTGTCACTCAGAGCAGCCACGCCCTTTAATTATGTATAACTTTAAAAGCCTTAATGTAATTTAAACAGGTGAGTTGTATATTAAAATCATGAACGGGGAAATCACCGTTCTTTGTACCGGGCTGTAAACACATTTATCTATTTCTGCTTTAATATTGAGCCTTATGGAGACTGACTCACTGCTGGAGCCAGCCTCTAGTGGCCGTTAGAGGAACTGCAGGTTTTATTACTTCCATGCTGGCTCTAGAAACTTCAATGTGTATAGGATTTGTTTGATCCCTCTATGTAAATATATGTAAAACTGCCATCATATTTAATAACATCTGATGAAATCATATTTGTACTGCTCAGTGTAAATCTAATATCTCGTTAATAGCTTCATTCTGATTGAGAAAAATCTTTCTTTTTTTAAGCCACATTTCCCAGTTTTAGTTCCTACCACATATTGAATTTTCGGAGAGAGTTTGGAGAGCGACACCTAACTGGAGCAGTTTTTCCATCAACAGCGTTTGGTGGATTCCAGCATTCACCTGCCACAGTCAGTAATCTGGGAGCCAAACTGATTTGGAGAGCAGAACTCAGCCTCCGATGATAACTGGCACCTGAACCGAGCGTCTGGCAGAGCAGATGAGTGTGCGGCCACAGTCACAAACTGCCAGAGTTTAGATAGCAGCTCATGTTAATTTATCCTCCTGCTCACAAACTGCATCAGATCAGCGCACTCTTCCCTCGGCCTGTTAAATCTACTGTAACATGAATGTTTCAACATGCCTCACCCCTTACTGCTGCTGGTGACTCGCTAGTTCGCTAGGACAGTTTGATTCAGGCTTTAATATGTTTGACATTAAAAGTTAAATTCTCTTATTTCTGTAAAGAATTGAACTCTATGAAAATACCAGTGATGTTTTTCAGTGTGTGGGTTGGAGCGGAGAGGTGGAGAGTGGAGGAGTTTATGACAGCAGCTGCAGCAGACTGAAGAAAACCTCCAACACCAGCAGACAAACACTCTGTTGTTCTTTCCTTTCAGAATATTTGTATTCATTTAAATTACATTACAGCATCTGACTTTATGGAAGTGACACAGTATATCACTGGAAAGCTCCTGTAACACTGCAAAACTTTATTGTTTTTCTGTGTTAGACGGGCAGGGCTGCATGCCTCACAACAGTGGTTCCCAACCCTTTTCCATTATTTATGGACGACCCCTGACTAATTGACATATTTCATATGATATTAAAAACTGTACAACGGACACAAACAGTGAACTCGTTAACTGTAAGGAGTTTGTGTAAAACGAGTGATTTGGATGAATTTTGAGCAGATTATTTACTGTTTATACAATTCTCTGTCTGTATTATGTATTTCTCTTATAATGTTTAACATAAATACTAAATAGACAAAATCAGTGTTTTCTTCCCCCTGACAGTTGTGCGTTGTTCTATTAGATGAGTGCTGAGATATATATTTTTTAAGTTTTCTTAAAAACCCTTAAAATCAAGAAGGCCTTGCGACCCCTCGTGAAGCTTTGGCGACCCCTAGTGGGGGTCCTGACCCCTAGGTTGAGAACCAATTCCTTACAAAAATCAAGTAGCAATGTCACAGTGAGTGAGAGTGATTAGAAAATCAGATATCCTATTTATGTATTTTTTGTTTGTGTACGTTGGAGTTTGATATGTTCTTTGTTCTGTCTGAAGCTGAACTGTTTCATCTCATATTCACATATTAATTCACCAATATAAACCTTTGCTTCAAGAGTAATAACTTAACTTCAGTCTGTGTGTAGACATTAAACTGCTACTTCCTTTAACTCTCTTTGTTTTTTTACTTTTATATTTAATACTCTCTTTAACTTGTGTACTTATGTTTTTGCTTTGGTTTTATTTAAATTTTTTTGTGAACGCATTTATCTATTTTTACTGTGTTTTCATGTGTGTGAATGAATTGATTTTATGTCTTTATGTTTTGCATCAACAGACAAATAAAGTATTTTTGAATTGAACTCAAAGTGTCAGATTCTAGCAGGAAACAGCAACAAAAAAACATTATCAGACATCACTGACAGGAAGATTTCTGTTTACACAAGCTACAGTTGCTGTTGGTTTTTCAGAATGCTGCATATTGATTATTGATTTTAGCTGTCATGTGTTGATTTTGAAGACATCCCAAAGTAGTGACAATCGTTCAAACGCGACGGTGTCAGAAGTTGATTCTCCGTCGTGTTTACGGCTGCTTGTCTTGAGGAAATCATTTGAACAGATTCTATTTTCATAAGCAAAAGCCTGATAGAAACATTAAAACTTTCAATCTTCTGTCAGAACAGACAGCAGAGGGAAGAAGCAGCAGACTCTGTCGTCACTCTTTGCCCCAGGCGGAGCCTTTCATCTATCAAACTTTACCACACCAGGGGGGCTGCTGCTATTTTAGGCCTCCAATAATGTTTTTTTTTTCCCTAAATTTTCCTGAAGTTAGTGTTTGTTGCTGAGCAGTTGTAGCCAAAACTCACACAGCTACACACACAGACGGTGACTGGCTGGAGGAGTTTTGTTTGTTGCCTGGGATCGAGGTGTTGGCTTCAACACTAACAGACTGGGGAGTGGAGGGGAGACGCCGGGGACCATCAGGGACTCGCTGAGTTAAATCACTTCTACAAACCTGCAGCCACAGATTGAGCTATACAGATTTGATCCTTTATTTAAAGAGCATAAACACAGCGGGAGCTTAGAAATGCACCGGCATCAATGTCGAATCTTTTTCTAGAAAAGTGTTTTGATTAAAGTCCCCATGAAGTCGACGTTAAAAGAGTATAACGGTATCTGGCCCAACTACAACAATAAAGTCATTCTTTAGGTATTTTAGTATAATTAATGGTATTTTAGAGTTTGCCATTTCTTCGTGACTCATCCTGGACTCGGGGACGTTTACTAATTTTGCATCCTATGAAACTTTATCTCTTCAAGCGATCGGACGCCGTCTAAAACGTTTAGAAAAATCAGCTTTGCACACATTTCATTTTCAGTATGTTTGTTAGACCTCAAGGACAAACACAATGTGTTCAGTAAGACTGAATGTAAAGAAAATAACTCCTCAGATCACAAACATGTCCCACTGAAAAAACCTAACTCATGCTTCATGTATACTTACTTATGGAATAAGTGATTAATAATTTAACTAAGAAATAACACTTCAGTCAGGACCCTCAAAATATCTCATGCTTCCATGTATACTTACTTTTGGTTTTTTTTTTTTTTTCTTCCTCTTCCTCCCCCCCCCCCCGTGGGAAAAAAATTAAAGGGGGGGGGGCCCCCCTCCCTGCCCTTCCATGTGCATACATGGAAGTTTATAAAGGAAGCGGCAGCAGAGACCCCCAGGGTACAGTCAATGGCAATCAGAAATCTTAATTAAATAAAAAGACAGGGGGGCAAAAGTTTGGGGGGGGGGGAGGGGGGGGGGGGGAGAAAAATTTTATAATTAGGCCTCTTTTTTTTTTTTATTTTTTTTTTTTTTTTAAAAGGTGTGGTTTTTTTTTTTTTTTTTTTTTTTTTTATTTGGAGGGTTTATTGGATTAATTTTTTTTTTTTTTTTTTTTTTTTTTGTTTTTTTTTTATATTTTTGTAACTGAAAAATAAGCCTGACTTCGTGCCCTGCCTGAAATAACACTTCAATTTGTATTGGTAGTGAATGTAATTCAGTTGCAGGTCTAATTAAAAAAACATTGTCCTTTTAAAATGTACAAAATATTTAATTTCTGACATGAGTGTAGCCTTTTATCTGCATCCTGCTGGTCGACACCCGCAGACCTCAGAGACACATCAACCAATCAGCTCTCACCGTTTATCCAGTCAGCCTCCCAGACGTGTCCTCCGCCATCTTCCTGTCTCTGTCCAGGAGCAGCTCCCGTCCTCTCCTCGAGTGTCCGTCCTGCAGCCAGCTCCCGAACACCTCCCGCGCTCCTCCCACGACTCCCCCGTTCTGTCCCCCGTTCTTCAGCTCGGCCGCGTTCTGCTGCCTCAGTCTGTCAGGAACAGTTACAGTGTAATTATGGAGTTCAGATCCGGTGCACTGATACATACCGACCAATAATCGACCATCGTTTTAAAGATTTTTCACCTTTAGTGGAGCTGTGGAGAAATGTTACACAATATACATTATATATTCTGTCCTTTTCAACTCATGTAATGTTTCTGTTTCTGTTACCTGTTTACGGACTACGGATGTTAATAACCATCATTGCTAACTCTGGCATGTTTACATCTTTACTTTCTTTATTGAGTTTTATGCAATGTCTTTTTAGGGGGTGTGTAGTATATTACATTAGTTAAGCGTGCTCCAATCTTACTTGTTTGTTTTGGTTTTGGTTTTGTTTTTCATTTGTTGGTTTGCTTCTTTTGCCAGTTGTATTGTTTGTTTTTGACTGTTAAACATCTAAAACGAGACGTTACTGATGTATGCTTCACTATGAAAATATTTGAAAGGAGGTTAATTAACATGCTCTGTCCTTCATCAAATAAACAAACAAATAAATAAATAAATGTTGGTTGTTGTTTTTTTGGCACTATAATATATACATAATATATAGTATGAATATATGTATTTGTCTCCTGCTCTATTAGCACAAGGATGCATATATAAAGAATAATCTTTGCATATATTGTATAAAGAAGATAATGCATTCAACATGTTTGTTAGACTTTAGTAAACAACAGAGAATGTAAATATGACTGTAAATGATCTACGGTTAATGTACCAATGATGCTCCCAGAACATATATTCATAATATTTAATATATTATTATTGTTATTTATTAGAAGCTCTTACAGTATTCAGTATTTTGAGGATGTATTTAAAGCCACTATGAGGAACATTTTGTGTTGATTCTGGCGGCTCCTGTGGACTAAAGCGGAAGTGTTTCCACTGCCTCCTTTCATTGATTTCAAGGGGAATCTGACATTAAAAATAATAATATAGAAACAGCCAATCTTCTGGCTGATGGTCTTGTTAATGTAGGTCACATTGAGGCATCAGTATTCCATATTGGTTGTAAACAGTACATTACATTGACTGATTATCATTACTGACGCATGAGTGACATTAACCTTTAAATGCTTTATATGCCTTCGGACAGCTTAATATTTAACAGTGTATTAATTTTACGAGGTGATCATGTGTAGAAGTATAAATGGTCATAAAATGTTATTGGTACCAACTGTGTGTTTGCAAGCTGTAACTTCTTAACTGTGGAGAAAGAGACACACAAAGCAAGCAAATGTGCACAATAAAGGATAAATTAAAGCCCCTACAAAGAACTTCCATTTTGTGTTGATTCTGTGGACAGAAATGGTACTGTTTCCACTGCCTCATTCCAATGATTTCAAGGGGAATCAGACTGAATAACGGTAAAAATAACTATATAGAGACAGCCAATCTACTAGCTGATGGTCTTGTTTGTTTATGTAGGTCATATAGAGGCATCAGTATTACATTTGTATTAAAACTGTTAAAAACTCCTTTGAATTCTTTATTCAATTTTATTTCTCAATGTATTTCAGTTTTGTTTAAACAACACACAGTGACAAATGAAATAACATATTGTATCTGTGGACACAACGACCAACATGTTCTGCTAAAGAAACATATTTGTTTTTCAAAATGTCAATCATACTAAGATTTCTGAGCGTGGCGATTGCTCACAATCAGAGCTAACACAAGTGGGTCGTAAGTGGGACCTTTTTTAATGAGGAGAAACTAATAATCCAAATAATTTAATTTCCTTCATGTGAAGATTGTAAATCAACTGTAACAACCGAGAAGAGCCCACAGATGACGAGGCTCAACTGTTTAAGACACTGTGATGAAAACTTTATGTCAAATCAAATTTTACTTTGTGAAATTAAAAAGATAATTTTAAACTGTCAGCTTTTATAAGAGGTGAACCCTCCCAGTCTGAACCCTGCAGACACTTTTCTTAAGCAGCTTTAAGATAATTTACTGTACAATATCTTTACATCGCAGTCTCATTAATTCTCCTGTTTTCTCTACGTTGTGTACTCTAAACTGTTGTTTACAGAGTTTATAAAACCAACAAGAGACATGAAGGATTTCAATGTGCCATGAGTGCAGGTTCATACTGTGGTGCTTTTCAAAGACTGAGCCGGAAACCCAGAGCTGACTCACGGGAAGAATAAAACTCTTGCCCAAATTATTGTGGAGATATTGGTTTCCAACCTAATGGCTCTGGTATTTGGCCAAAGAAGTCCCAAGCTCCTGGAAAGGAAGGCAGACTAAATAAAGTCCCGTAGATTTGTAGGTTAATGTTCTGAAAACAATGTTAATGTGGCAGCTAGAAAACAACAGCACAAAGCCCTCGAGGGGAAGCAGAAAATTATTTTGGACGCACAGGTCACCACAGAAGGTGTCTGTGGGTAGAAAACGATATTGAAACTGCCAGTGCTGCAGTTCAGTGAGCACTGAATGCACAAAATATTGGAGAGAGGAAAGAGAAGGTCGTACAGACTGTAAAGCCATTTGAGGCAATTTTGTGATTTTAGGCTGTAGGAATAAAATTGACTTGACTCTTTTCATGAGAGGCACAGATGTGCTCAACCGATGGTCAAACCCACTGTATCATAATTCATCTCACATATATTAAACATAAAAGAGGAGAGGGTTATAAAGAGAAACAGGTGAATTGTAGAGGAGCATCTGTACTTTAATATCATGAAAATAATCCAAACATCTCATACAGTAGATTCATGACACTACGTAGAGGTTTGATTTGCTTTGTTCCTCAGCTAAATTGTTCATGTATTTTATGTAAATATACTAATACACAAATGTAACAGCACTTAATTAAGTCCGGCCTTTAACTATTTAGTACAGTGTTAAAACTTTACCAAGCAACCTCACACTGTATCTTGTATGAACAAAGACCATTAGTATATTGTTCACCAGTAAGTCGTGACCACACCAAATTGACCCTTCCTAAGCTCAGCCCCTTTTTGCCATGTGCTCTACATTAGCTATCAGATATAACTAACTAGCTAACAACTAATCCTAACTAACTGTTTATGTAAATTAGCCAACTAGCCAGGTACTCCTTCCTCTTAATGGATCAAGTGTGACTAACAATGGAAGAGGATTATTTCTGAATCAAATTTAAAAGGTTTTTTAAATAATGCCAATGAAAGGCCCTTCGAACAGTAAAACAAAATACATAAAACAATCAATATCCTAAGAATACAGTACCTGCCAGCAAACCGGTCTTGAAGCTCATCGTGGTGTTGACTGCTGAGGCTGTTAGCGCGTTGCTCCATTAACCAGCCCAACTCAACCTCCAACACTTTACTGCCGTTGTTGTTGTTTGTTAGGGCTCCTTCCTGACAGCGCCGGATAATGCTTGGGGGTGCGTTTTCGGGTGAGCTCACAGGCGGCCCTTGTCCTCCATTCACTCCATTGTTGTGAAAAAGTTCTGTCAGCTCCATGCTGCCGCTCTGCAGCTGGCTTTCGTTGAACCAGCGGGCGAGTTCGGCGCGAGCCAGTCCTGTCCGACCCTCCAGTTGGCTGAACTCCTCAGGGGAAGGCCACCGCGTTTGAGCAAAATCGTCCTTGAGGAGCGCCAGGGATCGGCTGTCTGGAGGCACTGAGCAGGAATTCGGGTTGGGGATGGAGGGGGCAATGGTGCCTGGAGCAATGATGGGCAGGGTGTGCGAGGGTGGAAGAGGACTTTTAAGGTGGCCCACGCCGGTGCTTGGCTTGTGAATCCCATTCAGCTGTAGAGTTTGGTGTTGCTGTTGCTGCTGATGAAGTCGTTTCTTGGTGATGCCGGCGATCCCACCGGCGCCCATCCTCTTAGTGCCCATGGAGTTGAGAAGGGCTTGTTCTAGGTTGTCACGTAGTGCACGGCGCTCCACAAACCAGCTGTCGATTTCCTGGTGAGACAGGTGGGTGGTGCCTGCCAGATTGTCCACGTCGCTGTGTGTGGGAAAGCTGTTCCTCAAGAAGTTCTCCTCCAAGATCTTTAGCTGTTCCGCTGTCTTTCCTTTCATCCTCTCCAGCAAGGGGAATTGGGTCAGCACCGAGGACTTTTGCTGAAAGTCTGGTTTCAACACTGCTGGCGGCTCACCACCATCCAAATGGACTCCGTTGTTGTGAGCAAGGGAGTTTTGATCGTGGGGCCATTTGCTGTCTGAGCGAGATGTCCCGTTGGCCTCTGCCAGAGGAGTGAGTACCTTGTCTCCTCTGGGGTAGCTGGCTTTCAGCTCAACTCCTTGCTGCTCTTTTAGTTTCTTGCTATCTAAGGGGAACCCTGGAATCTGGGATGGGGCTTTGGCCGGAGCACGAATGGACTGGATAATGGGAGGCCTCCTTATCTGTGTGGTAATTAGAGGAGGGGAGTTTGGAAGCTTCAAATCAGCAGCTGGCATAGCGTGGGTATTCTGGTGCTTTTCTTTGGAAGTGATGGGCGAAGTAAGAGGAAAAAGTAATGAGTTTTTAAATGACGGGGCAAAGATAGGCGGGGGAACTATCGTTGGTCTTGTTAAAGACTCTGGAAAGACTATGGAGTGAAGCGACACCACCGGCTTTGTTTTGGGGTTTCCTAATGTCGAGAGAAGCTTCCCTTTGGACATCGAAGATGGTGATGATGACGATGATGGCGGTGGCATTAAAGGCACAGTAGCGGATGACCTCTTCATTTCTGTTGTGACCAGAGGAACTGCTACAGGTCTCTTCATCTCCATGGGAACTGGAGGCGGAGCCATTGGGAGACGGTCTTTTTGGGGGGGAGGGGGTGGAGGAGGAGCCATGAGGACTTTGTCTTTAGGGTCACCAGAATGGGGGGCAACTGCCATGATGGGCCGCTTAGATTCCGGGCCAAACACTGTTGTCAGGTGTGTTCGTTTAAGGGAAAGACTGGCGCCCATGGCAACTCCAGCGGGAGAGTTTGTGGTGGTGACTACACTGAACCCATTGGATGTGGCTGTCCGTACATGACTTGGATGCCCAACTGTAGTGTGGACAAGGGGCTGCTGGGAGAATTTGGCAGACGGCTGAGAGATTGGGCTTGTAGGCAGGACGGTGAACGTGTGATGGGCAGGAGGGATGGAGCCATTGAACATCTTCTTCCTGGCTTCTTCCACTTCCTCTGGGGACCAGGTGATACCTTGCTTCAGTCGCTGGGTGGTGAACCAGACTTTGATCTGTTCCTCCGGGTGCTTGGAGGCAGCTGTCAGCCACGACAGCTCTGCATGTGTAGGGTAAGGAAACTTGTTAAAGGAGGTGATCAACGTCAAGTTGTCATCTAAAGAAGGGTTATATTTGGTGGTGTTCAAGGGAACAGCTATTTTTGGTACAGAGTTAAAGTTGGGCGGGCGCTGGAGCATCGGGGTGACATGAGAGAGCCCTTGGAGGATGGTGGGTTCAGGGATGATGACTGTTCCGTTGATGTTCACTGCTGTTATTTGATCCTTCTGGATCAGGCTGTCCAGCTGGCTTTTCAATTCGCTCCCTTGAAACAGCGACTGAATGTTTTCTGGGGTTTTCACTGTGGTAGATATGCAAGGTGGAAACACCGAACTGCTGTTGTTTTCACCCTGTTCATTTGTCACTTCGCATTGAACTGAATTGTCCTTGCCTTCGATTGTCTGCTCTAAGATAGTCTGATTGTTCATTTTTATCCTCTTGAACTTGAAATTTGTCTCGCCCGGGTGCTGGCTCTCATTGTGGCCTGTGAGCGAGTCAAACTTCTTGGTGTTGAAGTTGCAGACAGCACAGAGGTACAACGGATTGAGAATGACGTTAGGGTGGCTGGAGTCCACATGCTCTTTAAAGTCATTCAGGTTCTGCGTTGAAAACGGGCAGTACTTGCACTCGTACCCTCTGGGCTGCTTTTTCTGGGACGCCGGGTCAGATTCAACCCCTTCCCTGTCCTTCTCCTCTGTGGCTTCTACATCTTCAATGACAGGGGGCTGGTCTTTTTTACCTGACTCCTCATCTTGTTCTGATGGCTCAGGATTCTGGTTTTCCACTGGTTTTGGAAACATCTGCTGGTCTTGATTCTCTGGATTCTCTTGCTGGGGGTCTTGACTCTTTTCTGCAGATTCAGATGATTGTGATTGTTCTTTTTCTGTCACATCTTTGTCCGCCAATATTTCCATGTCCATTACTTCCTCAGGGTCATCTTGCTCTTCAGGCAGGTCATTGATGACCCGGACCATGCAGGGGGTGGAGGACTTTCTACGACTGGACATGTTGGCTGCTGCTGGTGGTGGTGATAATGGCGGTGCTGGTGTTGCTGTTTGCGTTGAAGATACTGTGGTTTTTGGCTGCTGCTGCTGGTGCTGGCCGAGGACGTCAGCGTGTCGGTTTTTGAGGGGACTTTACTGGGGTGGGTCTGAGCTGATGGTTGTGGATACTGGTAGGTGGGTGGAGGTGGAGTCTCCAGCGTGCGAGAGGGAGGGCGAGAACCGGCTGACGGTGCCGGCCCAGGACCGGTTGTGCAGTGGCGTCTCCCGCTCACTGGCAGTGTCAGCTACCGACCTGGGCGTCATGGGAGGGCATCACAGACAGCAGTGGCGCTCAAGCTGCATAGAAACAAACAAAAAGAGGGAGGAAATTACATGTTAATATTGTTTGTGTTCAGTGAGCTGTGCTGCAACCACTTGGGGAAGGCTAAAAGCAGAGAAAAATACATGTTAGAAAAACATAGAGAGGACTCATGTTGATATTGTTTGTGTGTGATGTGATGTGCTGCATTCACCCAGAATAAGACAAAGAATGGGAAAACTGCATGATGGGCAATGGCAGAACTGGAAAATATATAAATTGCACTTTTATAAACAGGCAAACTATGATTTTGTCTGAAACAGTCTATCTATTTAAGGATAAAACACATCAACAGATTTATTCTTACTGGGATTAAAAAATCTATGCATCGTGTTGTACTGTTATGCGCTTTGATTGTTCCTTCAAAGACAGTAAGTTGGATTTGAAATAATAAACCTAAACCATAAAACTTTTCAAATCTTTATTTCTCTACAACATTAAATATTTATGACCAATAAAAAGCAACAAAGCTCCTAAAGTTTAACACTCAAAACCTAGTTAATCTGCGTCATCAGAACTGGGATTTATGTGACAGTGGCCTGGCAACATAAATCATAAAACTGACATCAGATTTTGCTTCAGATATCGATTAAAATCTGACTCATAGTAGACTCAGTCATACAGATCAATATCAGTATTTGAGACAAAAAAAGGTGATTTGGGTTTTCACACAAACACAAATAAAGACATTTTTGACAACACTACATCCAATTTTAGTGTTGTGACAAATACAAATACTGGGGCAAGATGTTTTACAGATGAGCAGCATACTTAACAGCTGCAATTATCTAGATAACGTATTACAATTGCAATAGTTATATATCAAGCAGAACTGCAGAGCATCATTCCAGCTTCTTAAATATTTGCTGCAAAAAGGAAATCATCTGTTTTAAACGAATGTTTCGCTGTAAATTGAAAATCTTTGGGTTTTGGGCTGCTCATCAGACAAATTGAAGATGTCACTTTAGGACCTGGCAAATTGTGATAGGCATTTTCTTTACTGATCATTTTATAGACTGAACGATTAACGGTGTGACAGATTAATGAATAATGAAAATAATTCTTAGCTACAGTCCTAATAAACTTTGCTATCAATGGCAACTATGACAGTAAATACAACAACACTGGAAAAAAATCAAACATAAAATAAAGACTTTTTTACCTTATTTATTCTAGCGGTTATTTATTTAAGTGTATTGTTCTCTCTTTGTAATTCTTTGTGAGCCTGGAACACTTTTATTTTTTTTATAATTTTCCATGTTTGTCTATTGTCTATTTGTCTATTGTCTGTTGTTAAAATGTTTTGTCAAGGGGAATGCCATGTCTTTTACTGCAAACCAAATCTACCTACGGGTACAAATAAAGTAATCTGAACTCGATTCTGAATCTGAAAGCCAAAAATACAGAAAAATCTTTAAAAAACATGTTTTTTTTATTCATTTCAGAAGGTCACAGATGAGAAAATCTTGGCAATATGTGGTAGATAAACTCAGAGGGCACATATAAAGCAGATATTGATACAGTGATTGTCTATAATAACATAGATATACCCTCCGGAACTGTTCTGGTTGTTACGCAACTCCACATCAAAGATGGGAGGTTTCGGTTTGATAAGCAACATGACATTTCGCTTGCCCGCCCTCCCCGTCCTCTAAAGCCCAAGCCAGGTTTCTGTGTTGTTGCTCGTCCTAAACATCACAGGAGCTTCATCAGGTCCAGCTTAATCAGACGCTGGCAGATGACAGCGTTTGCTGACAAAGCCAAGGCCAGAAGTTAAAAATAAAGCGAGTCTGACTGACAACTTGGAGCGAGACGCCGCGCCTGAAAATTACGATGAATCCGAGTGCCACTTAATCAGGGCACGTTGTTTCAGGCCAATCACATGTAAATGCAATAAATTGAAGAGTCCACAGTAACTACAAAAGGCAAAAAAAAAGTCTCCAAACTCCAAACCCCATTAAAAAGACATTAAGCGTCTTTCATAGATTCGGGCAAAGACAACTTCACAGGATAATTACCCTGTAATCATGTAATAAGAGAGACTCAGTGATGAGATCTCCTGACAGCTATCATCCACACAATGGAACTGAGAGAACGAGGTAAAAACAGATGGAGAGAGAAAGGAGAGAGAGAGATGGAAAGACAGGTATGAATAAATATGGGAAGAGAGGGAGAAAAGGGTAAAAATAAAAGGAGGACAAAAGCAGGTAAATGGGAAAGCGAGAGGGAGGAAGAATGATATAAAAAGAGAATGGGAGACAGCGGTGAAGAGGCACAGAGATAAAGAGAAAGAGGGGAGAGTCTAAAAACTTCCAAGCTGATGAAAGAGAACAGGCACAAAGCAGAAGACGTTTTAACTAGGCCATGGCCTGGCAGACAGAAAGAGAGAAAAGACAGTGAGAGAAAGAAAGAGGAAGACGAGGGAGAAAGGAAAGCAGATAAACATAAAGAGGGAGGAGAAGAAAGGGACAACAGAGCGTTTAAAGACGCAGAATAACGGGAGGGAGAGAAAAGATAAACAGAAAGCAAAGAAAAAGAGGACAAGAGGCAGAATTGAAAGCAGATGAAGAGGACGAGGGAGAGGAGGACGAAAGCACTTCCATTTGACATAAAAAAATCTTAACGGAAAGCTGCAATATCACGCATAATATGATAAAATAAGGTTTTTCTATCAGCAGAGTTGAAGCTTTGAAAAGGTGTCCCAATCACTTGGGAGAAAAACACATTTGCCAGAAAAATTGAGAGTATTTCAACACTTAATTAGTATTGGGCAAGCTGTTATTTGTCCCAAGTGTCACTTAATGTTGGACATATTTCATGCTCTCGCAGCCTTGATCAGCTTCTCACCGCCTGCACAGGAGACATGTTTTATAATTTCAGAGTATCCAGAGTCCTGTTTGAATTGTTGCATTGTGCAATGAGACTGAACTAATCCTATGTTATTATCATTCTCATGCATTTACATTGCTGTTTACTGCATACTTCAACTAATGAGATTTCTCAAGCAAGTAAGCATGTAAAAAATGTGACAGACGAGCTAAAAACAATATACTGATTAATCGATTGACAGAAAATAAAATGATTGTCATTTATGGAGTATATACAATATTTCTTGAGAACTAGGGATCTCTTCCTACTACGACAATCCGATACGTATCTAGATACATGGGCTACGATACGATTCAAGGACGATGCATTTCAATGTAGAACAATTCGATGCAATCTGTCACAGTTCTTAACAACGTCATCCAAGTCGTGGCTGGACAGTGTTTAATATCTTGTGTGTTGTTGCTTGTGCTAGCTGTATTAGCATCCACAGACATGTGACCATGCCGTCTCACCAGGTGAGTGTTAAGGTTTGCTGGATATAATTGCTGTCAGACAGATCTTACAAATTACAATACAACTTTCCTTCCTTCTTATAGAATCCAAAAGACCTCCAAACTTTAGATTTTAGATTTGATGAGTGTTGAAGGCAAATAAGTTCAAGTTCAAATTTTATTGTCCCTCAAGGCGAAATTTGATTTACAGTAGAGGGCTGAAACAGAAAACAAATGAACATACGAGGAGACATGGGACATTAATCCCAACCACTACAGTGTACAGCATCTGTTTGTTCAAAAGTACTCAAAACAATTGAAATGGTAGTGAACAGTGCAGTCAGCAGCTGAGGCTCAGTACGAATTTAGGGCATCTATTGCCAACAGTATCGGCCTCAACTATCAGCCAAATTGTTATTTCAAACATCAGTATCGGCCCAGAATTTCCCAATCGCTGAGAACTGACTGAAATCTGAAAATGTTTGATGTGTTTTAAACAGGCATGAAAAACCTACCTGAACCTGATCCAAAAGCGACACTAAGACAGTCAAATGTGATGAAGTATTTTGAAATGTACAGTGGACAGACCCAAATATAGAGAGAGCACTGGCAGCAGCAGGATGCTCCACCAATTAACAAACAGTTCTGGTCAAAAAGTCATTTTTCCTGCACTTCACAGTTCAAACTCTCTATGCCTCTCTCCAAAAACCTGCGGCAATACAACAAGACCCAACACGACCTGTTTAAACCAAATTTATTTTGGACCCTGGCCCAGCTCTGGTCCTGGGTCAGTTCGTTACTAGGGAACGAGAGGACCTGTGAAGACCTCTAGTCCGGAGCATCGAAAACTATTAGTATGGAAAGTTAATACAAGAATCCTGAATCATCTTTTCAATAGACCTGCGCTGGCTGGTAAAACAGCCTTGACTTTCAAACTGTTCGAAACGTAAGCTTTCTGTCATAAAGCTTACATTCAATCAGGAGGACTGTTTATAAAAGTTCCTAAAAATATCAGGAAGATAATCTCTGATGGTCTGGACAGCATTATTGGACCACCAAAGAAATCTGTGAAAAATCTGCAACATTACTTTTTTTTTTTTACGCCCCCCAAAGATACAAGCCAATACTGTTCACTCCAATCTGGGCCACAGCCTCCTTTTCAAGACATAGAAAAACTTAAATTAACTCTCGGTGGTGCAGTGGTGGAGTTTTATGTCATTCTTCCAGGTATTATAGACGGTCTCTGGCACAAAAGTTACAAACAAAACTCTTGTCTGGAGATTTTAAAGAGACTCAGAGCAGAACCAACAGGAGATTTTGAATAAGTTGGATGTTAAGTTTCTCTTTAAAGACGTCACCTGAGGCTCTTAGAAACTGTCTAACCAACTGAATTCTCAAAGGATAATAAAATAATCAATGACTGCAGCCTTAATACTGACCAAATTCTAACAAATAATGCATTTTCCATTCATATTTTCTCCTTATGTACATGCTGGTGTGCTTAAAAATACTTTGCTGCTGCCAGAGGTGAAGAGGGAAAATACAGGCAGATGGGAAAAGACAGATAAAACAACAGGAAAATAAAAAAGCGTGTAGGAGGAGTTGAAGAGAGGAGAGCAGAGATTACATGTATAGGAAGAGTTGGAGGGAGACGAGTG